ACTCTCTTAATCCAGAGGAGTGGTGGGTCCCGGAAAGAAGAAAGGAGAGGCACAAGAAGGGACCTGTGGGAAATCAGCTCACTTGTTCAGATCTCTGTTCAAATAGTGCCTTCCTCAAGAGGCCCCCCAAAATCACATCTTCCAAAATGACTCTCGTCACTCTCCTTCCCCTGCCTGATTCTTCTTCAGAGCACCTATCACCTGACAGTGGTGTTTGTCTATCTCATCTCCTAGGTTAGAAGTCATGCGAGACTGTGTCACTTTTGTTCACAGCTGTATCTCCAGTGTCTAGAAAGGTAGTTGGCACACAGTGACTGCTCAATAAACAACACGTAATGAAGGTTCCAGGAAGGCAGATGGAGCCACACAGGCCTCATCTCTCAGCTGCTCAAATGAAATTGCTCTGAGAAGCTGCAAGAATCTCAAGGATTCCTGTGGCCTTTCTCTCCCTTTCTTGGCAGACGGTGAGGCAGGAAGGAGCCACTGGAAGCCCTGACATGTTCTCCAGCTCCCCTTCAGACAAGCATTTGTATGGCACACCTCTCCCTCCCGAGGCCTCAAAGACTCTCTTCCTGTATCTGAGTCCCGGGGAGCCTCAAAGCCTATTAGCTTGATGTGAGGCTTCCCGGAACATTAAGAAGTTATTTAAGGAATGGAACAGGGAACTTCGGGGAGCTGAGTGTGGTCTGACCGAGGAGGGCCTACTGCAGCTTCAGAGAGGGAAGGTCAGGCCTCCAGAGCCTGCTGGAATCCTTTGAAGCCCTTGCCGCTGAGGAGGTTGAGCGTCCAGGGGGATGTCTTGCATGGAAGTCTAATTTTTCTGAAAGCTTTCTCACAAAATGTTCTGCATCACAGGTTAATGTATAAGACATGAGTTGTAAGTGGAAAGTTGGCAAAGTCCTTTGGAAATTGTCTAAAGGGCAGGAAACAAAGGGTAGCAGTAAAAAGAAACCTAAAAGGATGTTAATTAGGGAAGTGCCTCAGGGAATACGGTTGAGACCAGCTTTTTATTATTTACATAAAAATTAGTTGGAGAATGGTATTGAAAGGGATTTTCATGTTGGCTAATGAAACTGCATTAGAGAGCTGTGTGTGGAAATGTGAATAGTGGAATTAAGGGAGGATTCAATTTATTGACAGAATTGAAAAGGAGTGTTTTCTAACATATTTCTATTTATCAACCCACATCCATTCTGTTCACCAGATTTCCAGTTGAGTAGTGGGCAGGAGAGCTTCAGCTTGAATAACTCAGATCTCCACATTTTTGGGGCCAACAGAAAGTACTTGAGATTTTGACATCCTACACATAGGGCGGGTCCTGAAATTGAATGGAATTATAATGGTATTCAGACCTAGAAACCTCTCTTTTAGAAGGACCTGGAAGGTAGATAGAATCTGCTATTTAGCTATCAGCATAAGATTGGGTCACCTAACATACATATATCTACCCATTTCCCTTTAGTTAACATTTTCTATCCTTTGGAGCTCGAATTATCACAGAAATTCATTGTAGAAATTCCTCAGTAGGAAGCTAGCAGTCTCTCTTAAAGTTGTTGCATACACAGTGAGCCAGGACTTGAAGTTGGGAGCCCAAGAGTGACCTTTGCTATCTTCTCTTGAGCCTACCCCAGGGGATAACTCTGTAGGCACCATGGAGGCTACTAAGCCCTTGATTTCCCTACAGCCTGGTACTCAAAGTGCAGTCTCAGAGCATGAGAGAACAAATTAGAAATATAGCCTCTCAACTCACCCCAGAACAGAGTTAGAATCTGCATTTTAGCAAGATCCCCAGCTGATTTCTATGCATTTGAGAAGCACTGCTCTAAGACACCCGGGAACCACAGAAAGCAACGCTAAGGGGATTTGGTTGCTTCTGTAGAGTGAAAGTTGGACCACATGAATTCTGTGGCCTAAGGATAGAATTCTGGCATTTGAGTCTTTCTGGTCTGTAGACTTAAGATCCTCCCTCTTATTTTCTTTAATTTGGCCTCATAAGGCACCCTGCCTTCTCCGGAATGTAAACATCCTTAAGTGAACATGCCTTTTGAGAAAGTGTTAAAAGGGGTACTGTATACCCCTGAGTGCTCTTCCCCTGAGTGTGGTCTGCACACTGGGCCATTAGCTAATTGTTACCATCTACGTCACAGGCCACAGCAGCCTGGGTTCTGGAGGCTGCTTTTCAATTCTGCTCACTCTCCAAGGGCTCCGTGGGTAGGTGTGGTGCACTTAGCTGTTTTCTGCTGCTGGGTGTAGGCTGTTAGTCCACAGGACCGGTCCTGTGGCAGGGTGTCACTGGCCTGGGAAAACTGTCCTAAAACATAAGCGTGGCTTTCAAAGACATGGATTTGAGCAGTTTGTAGACCTCTTAAAATGTGTATTCTCTCTAGACCTGAGATGATGTAATGATTGTGATGGGGCCTGGGAGCAGCTGCTCACACTGCCTCCTCCGCCCTCTCTCTTCCCTCCCCTCACCCACAGCTTTCACTCAGGCTTGTTTTTAGAAAATAGAATAGAGAAATGAGGGGGTTGAAGGAGCTGGAAGATTGGTGAAATTGACCTGCCTTTGTCTCAGCTTATGAGGTAGTGTAGGCAGTTGCTGGTTCTGCCAAATTAGGAGGGAACAATGAAATCCCAAACTCTTCCTCACCCCACCCCGCCAAAGCAGGGTGAATATAGAGTTGTGGCCTAACCTAAATAAGGCTTGATTTTTATTCTTAATGGTTTTGCCAAGATTACTCTGTTCTTTTCAGAGATTTTAGGTGGATGTTGAAATACCCAAGTCATTCCAGGCACAAGAGATGAGGAAAGGCTTAAAATTTGCCAAGACACGCTTAGGAGATTCAGACTTAGCATGTGAGCATGTGTCTGTTGTAACTTGGGCTAGATTGAGGCCCCTCAAACCTCAGTGTAGCCTCAGAGCTCCATGCTTACATGAGATGCGTCCCCTGCACAACAAACAGGTAAGCCAAAAGGTGGTCAATGAGTGCACTGAATAAAGTGCTTCCTTTGTCCTGGGCCAATACATACAGAGCAGCTACTAAGGATCCTAGTCTGGCCTTATCTCACCCCCAGACTGAGAACTCAGAAGCAGGGAAATCTGCTCTTCGTCTTTAGACTTAGAGCACCTGACCCAGAGCAGGCCCTTGATGTTTGTAGAATGGACATGCAAAGAAAAGAAGGAAGCAAGCCTCTGGCTAGCGTAGTATCTATTGTAAGTCAGTGTTCCAGCAACATCTCAGGCATTACATTTTCAGTTCATTGATTTCAGTGAGGAAGGGATAGGGAGGGAGAGATACATCAATGATGAGAGAGAATCATTGATCAGCTGCCTCCTGCACACTCCCTACGGGGGATTGAGCATGCAACCTGGGCAGACCAACTGGGAATCAAACCATGACCTCCTGGTTCATAGGTGGACGCTCAACCACTGAGCCACACCTGCCAGGCAGTTCATTTCTTCTTTGACAAACTATTAAGCCCACCCATTAGGCCCCATATATCTGTACAGCAAGTCTCCAAAGGAGGCTACCCTGCCCACAAGCTTGCTGCACAATGAGTACCTCACAATTCATACCTGCAAACCACTGGGCTGGGCAGGAAAAGGGACTGGAGATCAGAAGTCAGTTCGTTGGGGGGAATGATGTGCTTCCAACCTCTTAAGCCGAAGTGTTCCCGTTCGTTTCAGGTAAGAATCTACGATCTCTCCAAATATGAGCATGGAGCAGATGATGTGCTGATCCTGGCAACGGACGGACTGTGGGATGTTTTATCAAATGAAGAAGTGGCAGAAGCAATCACTCAGTTTCTTCCTAACTGTGATCCTGATGACCCTCACAGGTTTGTGCATTTCTATGATTATAGGGTTATTTCTTAAGCAGTGTTTTATAATGTGACTGAAATTAATAATAATCAAGCATTTTCAACATTCGTGATTTATAGCAGAGCTAATAGGGATGGTTTAGTAACCAAACTGCAGAAGGGACTATACTTCCTATTAGAGGTACATTCACAGCCAAATAAAAATCCTAAGTAGAACCCAGGTACAAATGGTGAAGAATTTGATTTGTAAGATATTTCAATATCTTAGTTCGTATTCTCCAAAGTATATTTTCATCCACTGGGGAACTGTTTCTTTCAAGAAACATTGAGAAAGGAGAAAATTAAAGTAGATATTCTCTTATGGCATAATGGCAGTGTAACTACCCTAAACAGCCCTAGGTGACTCTCAGATATGAACAGAAATCTCCTCTGGAGAAACAGTTTTCACTTAGAACACAAGGATGCAAGTCTCCATGAGTAAAGCCAGCAGAAGCAACAGACAGCAGAGTTGGGCCTGTAAATACTTCATTATTGGAAATATCAATCAAAAATATAAATATTTTTACATGTTTCAGAAATGTTTTTAAAAGCATTGAAAATATGAACAAGAATAAAAGACTATAAAATATCTGCAGAGACTTTAAAAATAAGGAAGTGAAACTTCTGGAGACGAAAAATATAAAAATAGGAACTAAAATCACTGGATTAAAGAGATTAGAGACAGTTGAAGAGAACACTAGTGAACTGGGAAATAGAGCTAAATAATCCAGAATATGGCTCAGAGAGACAAAGAGAAGGAAAATGTGAAATGAGATTAAGAAACTAGGAGGATAATCTAAGATACTGTCATTAGAATTCCAAAAGGAAATTCTATAGCAGATGGGAAGAAAAAAAATGTTCTAGAATTGTTAAGTAATACTAACCTTAAGATCCAGAAAGACCAACAAAGGAGAAGAAATAAAAATAAAATTATAATGGGCATTTTATAATGAAACTGAAAAACTTTAAACAAACAAAAAGATATAAAAGCAGCTAAGAAGATAAAACAGATACATAGGAATAGCATTTAGACCAGTGATGGCGAGCCTTTTGAGCTCGGTGTGTCAGCATTTTGAAAAACCCTAACTTAACTCTGGTGCCGTGTCACATATAGAAATTTTTTGATATTTGCAACCATAGTAAAACAAAGACATATTTTTGATATTTATTTTATATATTTAAATGCCATTTAACAAAGAAAAATCAACCAAAAAAATGAGTTCACGTGTCACCTCTGACACGCGTGTCATAGGTTCACCATCACTGATTTAGACTGACAGCTGAGTTTTCAAAAACAATAGGAGCCAAAAGATAGTAAAATTATATCTTCAGTTGGATAAGAAAATAGCTCAATTTTTAGAATTTTCATGTGTAGTAAAAATATCAACAAAGAGGATGCAATAAAGACATTTTGGGGCAAAACAAAAATTTTACTGCCAGCCAACCTCCTCTGAAGAAAATTCTGAAGGATGTATTCAGATAAGAGGAAATGATCCCAGATGGAAGGTCTGAGAAGTAAGATGGATTACTAAGATATTAGTAAATATGTAGGTATACTTAAACATACATTAAATATATAAAACAGTAATAAGAATGTGATGTGTGGTATTAAAAATGAGAGGATTAAAATTCTGAATAAAAACAGCATATGGGTGGTAAGGGAATAGTAATCAGTAAAATATGCTGAGGTTCTATTTGAGAAGAGGTCAAAGTGTTTAACTGTAGACTCTAAGTAAATGTGTTTAAATAAGCAGTTTTCATCAGATATGCCACAAGAATTTTTAAAACATTCAATACCTGGCTGTTAAGTGAGGGGCACTGATCTCTTTTCCCTTAGATTGTCAAATACAACAATGAACATAGCCAACACAACAATAGCCATCCAGTGTGAATGAATCAATATTATGCCTTTTTTTTTTGTCAGACTGATGAAAAAATAAAATATATTTTTGGTTTACTGCAGAATTTTAGCAATTAGTTCATGTGTGCCACAAGATGAAAAGGGTTGAAAATTGCTGGTTAAATAGCTAAGAAAACTACTAAGAGAAATAGAAAGTGTAACTTTCAAACTAGTCAAGGGAGAGATAATCTACATGGAATTAAAAACCAAACTTCTAAAAGTTTTTACTTTTAAGTAAAAAACAAACAAAAAAAAACAATAAAAATTAGAAATTACTTGGGCATGAACAATAAGAAGAATGCTACATATCAAAACTTTAAAGGCTGAATTTTGAGCCTTTTCTAATTTGATGAGCTATACATAGATGAAGACTCCACTCACCCCTGACCTGCCAGAAGTGACTATTCCCCCTCCATGTCATTGGGTAAATTTTTACAAAGCTGTGCCCTATATCACAAGGGACTTCTCCCCATAAGTTTTATATTCCAGACCACAGAAAAAGAAAAAGAGACCCTTAACCATAGAGAATGCTATTTCTCAGAATCAGACCTTGAGGCTGACTTGTATTACTGGGCTAGTTCTGCTCATATGATCAATGTAAACATGTAGAAAAGAATTCTTGTAACTAAAGGTTCTAAGGAGCCAAAGGAGTGGAGCTATGTAATTGTGGATTGTGTTCTTTTCCAGTGTACAGGCTGTCAGTAAACAGCTGTCCTAATTTAAAAGTTTAGGTCTGTGGTCCTTATTTCAACAACAGCATTCTATGTAGGAAATGAAAACGGCACAATAAACCCAGGAGAAGTAATGAAAGGAAAAATTAAATATAACAAAATAGAGAACAAATACACAATGAAAATAAATGACAAAGCCAAAATTTGAAACAGCTAATATATTAGGGAAATACAAATCAAAACCACAATGGGATACCACCTCACACTCATTCGGATGGCTATTTTAAAAACATACAGACACGCCAAAACCGGTTTGGCTCAGTGGATAGAGCGTCGGCCTGCGGACTGAAGGGTCCCGGGTTCGATTCTGGTCAAGGGCATGTACCTGAGTTGCGGGCACATCCCCAGTAGGAGATGTGCAGGAGGCAGCTGATCGATGTTTCTTTCTCATCAATGTTTCTAACTCTCTATCTCTCTCCCTTCCTCTCTGTAAGAAATCAATAAAATATATTAAAAAACAAAACAAAAAACATACAGACACAAAATAAGTGTTGGTGAGGATGTGGAAAAATTGGAACCCTTTCGCATTGCTGCTGAGAATGTAAAATAGTACAGCTGTGGGAAAGTATATGGTACTTCCTTAAAAAATTAAACATAATTACCGTATGACCAAGCAATTCTACCTCTGGATATATACCCAAATGAAGTGAAAGAGGAACTCAAAGAGATACTTGTAAACCCATGTTCATAGCAGCATTATCCACAGAAGCAAAAAGGTAGAAGCAGCCTAAGTATCCATAGATAAATGAATGAATAAAAATATATAGTATATACATGCAATGGAATATTAACCTTAAAAAGAAAAGAAATTCCCACACATACTATAAAACTGATGAACCTTGAAGACATGGTAAGTCACAGAAGGACAAATATTGTATACAGTGGGGCCTTGACTTACGAGTGTCCCGACAAACGAGTTTTTCGAGATACGAGCCATCTCTTGGCCGATTTTTTGCTTTGAGTTGCAAGCTAAAATTCGGGTTACGAGCCAGCTTCAGATACCCCACCGCTAGTTGGCGCAGCGAACGTCACAGTGAACGCCACAACATCAGCCCAGCATCACGTGTCTCACTCGTTCACTTTAAGCGGTTAGCTCTTAGTTGAAGCATCAGTGTTGTGCTCACATTTGTGCTTGCAGTTATTTTGCAAAACTTCGTTTTTTGGGTGTCCGGAACAGATTAATGGCATTTCAATTCATTGTAATGGTGAAAATTGATTTGACATACGAGTAATTTGAGTTACGAGCTCCATCACGGAACGAATTAAACTCGTAAGTCAAGGCCCCACTGTAATTCCATTTAATTGAGGTGCCTAGAGTAGTCAAATTCATAAAGACAGAAAGTGAAATGGTGGTTGACAAGGATTGGGGGGTGGGGTTAGAGATGGGAAGTTGTTGTTTAATGGACATAGAGTTTCCATTTGGGAAGATGAAAAATTTCTGGAGATGGATGGGGTGATTGTGCTGCACAACAATGTGAATGCACTTAATGCAGGGGTGGGCAAACTTTTTGACTCGAGGGCCACAATGGGTTCTTAAACTGGACCGGAGGGCCGGAACAAAAGCATGGATGGAGTGTTTGTGTGAACTAATATAAATTCAAAGTAAACATCATTACATAAAAGGGTACAGTCTTTTTTTTTTTAGTTTTATTCATTTCAAAAGGGCTGGATCCGGCCCACGGGCCGTAGTTTGCCCACGGCTGACTTAATGCCACAAAACTGTACACTAAAACATGGCTAAAGTGGTAAATTTTATGTTTTGTATAGTTTACCACCAAAAAAAACACACAAAGAAGCAAATTTTAAAAAGTAGATCAAATTTTCCATAAGACTAATCAAGAATAAAGAGGTGGGGGGCACTGACAAATAAACAATATTAGGAATTTAAAAAAAATGATCCAGATGCAGCAGCAATTAAATATAAGAGGATATTATGAACATATACCTATTCATCAATGGGAACATTATAAAGATATTAATTCTCCCTAACTTGATCTAGAATCAGTATAGTTTATAACCAAAATTCCAATGGAGTTTTCATGGAACTGATTTTAGACATACGTGGGGGAAAAAATGCCAAGAATGTTTGTGACGTTTCTATGTGAGTCATACCCTTCTAGATATTAATACAAAATCAGAACAATTAAGACAGTGTAGAAAAAATGTAAAATTTCATCCTTCTCTCACATCATACACTAAAATCAAGTCTAGGCAAATTAAGACTTACATGTGAAAGGCAAAAATAAATACAACTTTTAGAAAATAGCATATAGGAAACTATAATCTCAGAATAGAGAAGGATTTCTTAGAACACAGAAAGTACAAACAATTAAAGACTGATAACCTTG